TGGGTGGATAATGAGACTGCATCAGATTGTTGTCAATGGCAACAAGTCAAATGCAGCAACATCACTGCACGAGTAATCGAACTCAATCTTTATAACACTAGGGATTATAATTTAGGAGATTGGTATTTTAATGCCTCTCTATTTCTTCCCTTTCAAGACCTCGGGAATCTCTCCTTGAGCTGGAATAGCTTAGTAGGATGGATTGAGAATGAAGGTGTGCTACAATCTCTCCTATTTTGTTTAGTAAGTTTTTTCTTTGATTGATAATATAGATATATTGAACTTTGTTGTAGGTATTGATAGATTGTCAAATTTGAGAAATTTGGAGGCTCTTGATCTGAGTGACAATTCATTTGATCGCAAAATTTTGTCATCTCTTAGTCGACTTTCTTCTCTCAAGTATCTGAGACTCGATGATATCGTCTTTTCAGAGAGAAAAAATTACTTCAACAACAGTAAGTTCGATATATCATGTATTCTGGTGGTTCTTTGCTAGATCACGTGATTATCAAATAATCAACCCTTTGGGAAATAAGTCAACTTATTATAGTAATTAAAACTTTTCTTGTTACAGATAATCAATTTCTCAAAATCTTTAATTTTCTCTATTACAATTATAGATGAAAAACCAATTATTATAAACTGATCTTTCACATTATTCATCCTGGTTTCATATATATACCATACTGTAACTTGAAAATTATGCTACTTGATCTCCTATTAAATCAAAACATTTTCCATTTGTCCCTTCCTAATAATGTTAATTTATCGTATTGAGATATATATATTAGTAGTGCTAATCAACCCAGTGTTGTAATACACCTTACTGTAGAAGCCATAATATTATTTTCATGATTTCAATCCATTATCTTAGTCAGCATTGATTTCCTCTGAGGCATCACAAAAGTTTTTAGTATCTTGACGAAACAAATTCTTTATTATTTTTTAAGAAAGATCATTGTGTAGGCCGTGAAAGACTCTTTGGATTGACCAAGCTGGAAGTTCTTGATTTCTCGTGGAATGATGGTATTAGCGATAACGACATTTTATCGGTGCTAAGTGAGTCTTCTTTTCACAAGCGTGATTATTGTTTTTAGGTCAGAGGACCTTTTAATTTGTTTACTAGTATTTTTCGACAGATCTGAATGACTTTATCAATTTGAAGGAGCTCAACCTAAGTTATAATCAATTTCCTTCAAACCCATGGTAAATACCATAGTCATGCTCATTTCGTTCTTTGTCCTCATTTATTGTTAATTTCCTTTTGTTTTTATACTTCACTTCTGCCTTATTCTGTATGAGCAGAAGCATTCATATTATTTTGCTCCACCCCTTTAACTAAAATAATAGTTTTTTCTTTCTTTTTTTGGTTATTGGATTGCATCGTAGATATTGTATTGCAACTTATTGTGGATTTGGTTATACAAACAGGTCTAAAATATTTGAAGGTCCTCAATTTAAGATGGAATTCCTTTAATAATAGCATTTTCTCCTCACTTCAAGGGCTATCATCACTCAAATCTCTAGATCTCTGTGGAAATGAACTAAAAGGAACCATCCAAA